CGCAGTTACTCACAGAATCACAGATTCATTTACAATGAAAAGTCATGTAACAGGCTTATACTAAAGAGACCTTGTTCCTTAACTGTAGTGCGCACTGGTAAACAAGAGTCTCTAGAGCCTTAACAATACGAACCTCGCTGTTTACGTTGTTTTTCTTCGTCTGACATTTGCCATTCATACTGAACGTCACCAAACAAATGAGCGATTATCGCGTAATGTGCCAGTGTGGGCATATTTTTTGATCGTTTTCCTTTTCGAAGACTGAAAAAACAAGATATTGGTTTTTGCTATAAATAGGTATTGATTAAATATTTACTGCTGAGGTCGTATAGGATCGAATGGTTCTAACACTAAATATAACATTCGATTATGAATGCCTTCGAAACCTCTGTATTTTTCAAAACATGATAACAACGTTGAGTAATGTGTGCCTGTGGTTCCACCCAAAATTGACAAATGTGCTTGTTCTATATATACACTCGTGGATCCTGTTGTTCGATCATCATCCGTAATTCTTGAAAAAGAAAACGATCAGTTGATCAAACAACCTGACATGCAGAAACTTACCCATCGAACGCTTGTAGTAAAAGACCAACATCACCGACGGTTTTATTTGTAGTGGAATCGTAAACACCTTGTGGGTCGAAGAATACGTCTATCTCATCATTAACTAGCAATTTATTACCTGTTGCCAAATGTTTACGTAGTGATAAGTTATTGACGTTTGAAATGATAGATGTAACTGTTTTTATTTTTCCATCGAACTCCATTTCTTTTAAATAAAAATCCGTAAATGTACGTTCACATTTGCGTGATGCTTGTTTAATTCTTTTGATAATCGACGTTTTGCCAGATCCTAGATCAGAAAATGAGTTTAAGTGAGACTTCGTATTTGATATCTCAAACCTGTGACAAAAAAATAGTCACGACACATTTTTGCGAGAAAGTGAGGGTAATCACCTGACGGTCCAACTAATACACAATACAAATTGATTGGAAACACATCATCGCTTAAATAATGACAATATTGAGAATTTCGTCCAAAATGTCCCAGCATAGCTAATGTGCCGAACATAACAGTTGATGGTTCATACGCTTTCGCATGTTGATAATGTTTTAGAAGGGCATAGTCTTGCTTTTCAAGTATTGCTTGTAGATTAATTTTACTTTTTCCAGCAGTTGTGATATTTTCGTCGATCATAGCACCGTATTTAACTTGTGTTACTGTTGCCATTTTCATATAGACAACAGCAAGAGAGAGAAAGATCTGAAAGAACTAAATATTTATCTACAAATCATTCTTTTCAGTAGTTCAAACCAGATGACAGTCAAGGCGGTGATGCTTCACAGAGTCTGTTTATCGTTTCAAAGGAAAAACAGAAATAAGAAACTCTGTTTATTATACGACAATATATCATATTTCTTCATTCATTTAGTAAAAACAAACAAAAATGTTCCTCCAGTTTTTCTTCCTCTGTAAGTGCAGTATTAGCATTTTCAACGAAACCCGGGTATACCTTGTTGTGGATTTCTTGTGTAGACACGCTTACTGTAATTCTGAGGTTAATCGCATATAATAACTCGACGATAACAATATAACTGGTCAGTTGTTCTTGTTCACTGGTTAGTTGTCCACTTGTTATTCGTTCACGCTTACACTACGTGTACTTGTCTTCCCAATCTTTTCATATCAGTAGACAACATCTTTACCTAAACAATTACATACCAAGAAAATCTGAATTGTCCTATGTCTATCAAATTTAGAAGATAAAAGTACGAAAAACACTATTCATCGATAAATGTAGAGAAGCTGCA